GGTCTGTAGTTCTTGACATTCGTTGGGTCTTGTCCTTCTTTCGGTATCAATGAAATGATCGCTTCTTTCCATGTATCAGGCACTATCTTGTTTCCTCTTATTTCATTCGATAGGGACACCAGGGCCGGAGTTACCTCTTCTTTTAGTTTTTTATAAAATTTTGCTGTAAAACCATCCGGCCCTGGTGCTTTTCCTAATTTGGTCTCTTCTATTGCCTTAAACACTTCTTCTTTTTGGATTTGACCGTTCAGTAGATCCTTGAATTCGCTTTGTACCTTTGGCAGTGTTGTGTTGTTTAAATAATCTTTTATCTTTTCAAGATCAGCTTTCTTGCCTTGAAATAATTTCGCATAATACTTGAAGAAACTTCTCTTTATTCCATTAGGGTTCACGAATTCTTTTCCTTCTTCCACTATCTTTGATATCAGTCTTCTTTCTTTTCTTGTTTTCAATTGCCAAGCCAAATATTTCCCGGGTTTATTGGCCCCTTCAAAGGATTTTTGTTGAAGTTTTTTTAAATTCCAGTACATTTCTTGGTTTAATGTCACATTTAGTTGTTCCCTCAATAGCTGTAATTCCTTTATAATTGTCTTTTTGCCCGGTCTCTTCTTTAATGTTATTTGCGTTTGTTGAGCAGTAATGCTTGTTGTCACAACTTGCAGCTGCTTTTGTTGTGCAGTAATATTCGCTGTTACAACAGACAGATGTTCTTTAAAGACATTGAGCTGTTCCAGCAGAGGGCGCATGACCTCTGTCATCGCCTTCGTTGTCTCACTGGTCATTTCCGGCACCCTCAGGGACTCTAGTTTCACTTTTTAAAGTTTCTCTTTGTCTCTGTCCCTTTCCCCTGCCACCTTTTTCTCGTTTGTTTGCTTTCGCAATAAATTTTAAAGTCTCTGAATATGCGCTTATCTGTATAGCTCGATGAATGAGTACTTCTGGGCAATTTCTTGTTTATTCTTCCACTCCCTCCCCTTTCGCTCAACGAATTATGGGCATGGAAGGCATCCCTCCCACCACTCGCTTCTGCCGTTTCGCCGCTTCGGGTAAGGATGTCTTTTCGTTTAAAAATCAGTTCTCATTTGACTCATGTTCATAGTTGGTCTTCCGACCCCTCTTCATTCATCATTTCAAACGCCTGATCTCCTGAGCTTGACCCGGCTAGCTTCACTTGTACCATCAGGTCTCTCGGCTGGACAGACCACTGGAGCAAGGGGGAGCCTCGATTAGCTGGCATTCGGCCAGAGAAGAGGCTACCCCCTCAAAGCTCCTTGGCCAGGTGCCCTTCCCCGGGCTCCTGGGGGGGGTTACGAGCCTGCTCACCCCCTCCGTCCGCCAGAGCACGGAGACACCCCCGGGAGGTGAGTCCGTGAGCGTGCCACCATCAACCGGAAGATCACGGCTGTTTTTTACATCAGCAAGCAGGGCGGCACCGCTTCTCTTTGCCTTTGCACAGCAACTATCCGCCTTGGGAACTGGTGTCTTTATCATTCCATCATGCTGTTCGCTATACACATCCCTGGCATTCAGAATGTAGACGCTGATCTTTTGATCCCACATCGTCCCACAAGACGATGAATGGTCCCTCCATCCCCAGTATCTATGACCGGACTTCCTCAAGTTTGGTTGCCTGACTGTCAATGGTTTTGCCACCTTGGAGAATGCCCACTGTCACCTCTTCTTCACTCAAGGTCCACCCTGTCTCTAGGAGATGTGTTCCTTCACAGATGGACGGGGACTTTATTTTATTCCCCCCCCCATTTCCTCTTATTTCCAGGGTGCTGTGGTTCCCGCACTTCCTCTGTCTCTCCAACAAATGGTTCCGTCATTTCTCTTGTGTGCCGGATCTCCTGTCCAGGGATCGAGGCCGAATCCTCCACCACAACCCGACCTTCTTCAGGCTGACGGCGTGGAAGATCCTACAGTAGACTTCCCACCTGAGCTGTTGAATGTATTGCTTAACACAAGTAAACTGACTACCCGCAATACCTATCGTCTGAAGTGGAGGAGGTTCCAATCTCACGCAACACTACTTCGATCCGACCCACACTTCTCTATGGGAGATTTTCTCCTACATTGTATCCTTGAAGGAATCAGATCTTGCATACTCTTCTCTAAGAGTACACCTGGTTGCCATTTCGGCGTATCACCTTAATACAGGGCTCTACTGTTTTTTCACACCACCTGACAAAGTCTTTCCTTAAGGGGCTCCTTCATCTCTGCCTGCCTCGGAAGCTGCTCGTGCCTTCCTGGAGTCTGTCTCTAGTTTTGACACAATTCATAGCTAAGTCGTTCAAGCCAATGGCTTCGGTGGATCTTCGACTCCTCTCGTGGAAGATTGCATTTTTAATTGCTATTACTATGGCTTGCCGGGTAGGGGGACTTTCTGCCTTGCGTGCAGATCCCCTATATACAATTTTCCACAAGGAAAACATAGTTCTCCAGCCAGATCCCTCCTTTCTACCTAAAGTCGTTTCTGCCTTTCATCTATCTCGGTCTTCTGTTTTACCTACTTTCTTTCCAAACCCGGCTGATGCACCTCAGAGAGCCCTACACTGCCTCAATGTCCAGAGGGCGCTCTCCTTTTATCTCCATTGAACAAAGCCTTTTTGAAAGTCTCCAAGGCTTTTTGTTGTCTATGGTTCCCCGTCCAAGGGTGAGCCAATCTCCTCTCAAAGATTGTTGAAATGGGTTACCTCCACCATAGCCCTTTGCTATGAGTTGGCAAACCAACCCGTACCCACCTGTATAACTGCTCATTTCACAAGAGCAGTTTCAACATCTACGGCCTTCCTAGCTGGTGTCCCGTTGGAAGACGTCTGTGCTGTGGCTACGTGGTCCTCGACATCGACCTTCATGTCTCACTATGCACTCGATGTTCGAGCTCAACGGGATGCTGCATTTGGCCAGGCGGTGCTCCACTCTCTCTTCGCCTGATCATTCTGCTTCTTCAGGTAGGACCTATACATTGAAATCATACTGCTATGTCCTAACCTGTTTATTGTCTCTTCCAGCTGTCAGCTCCCTCCTCCACCTGGTTCAGCTGTTCTAATCACCCATGTGTGGGACTGCACAGAGACCATGACGAAGATAAATAGGTTGCTTACCTGTAACTGATGATCTTTGAGTGCTCATCTGTGCAGTACCACAATCCCACCCAGCCTTGCTGGCATCTCCTGTTCGCTTACCTTGAGTTGATGGGACTTACCTGTAGCGGTCGAAGGAACTGAGTGGGAGGTGGCTCTCTCCCCTGCTCCAGGCATGCGCAGTGCGTGTCTGTTCCCCAGGGCGGGAAGAGAGCCTGCCAAAAAGACTTCGAGGCAAGCTCTGGAAGATTCTCCGGTCGAGGTTGTGTGCAGGTGCCCAACCCATGTGTGGTACTGCACAGATGGCCACTCGAAGATCATCAGGTACAGGTAAGCAACCTGTTTTTCCCTTCACTATGTTTTTCCCTTGGAATTGAACCCAAACAAATGGTAACCATATAAATTAAGCTTATTATTCCTGTTTGATCCTTGAATCTGTTAAAAATTTTCATTATGCTGTATGCTAATTTACTGCTCACCCTCTACCTATATGTATGGACTGGAAATTTCCATTTAATTGTATTGGAAGAAGCGTGCATGCACACAAAGCTTATACCTTGAATAAAACTTTGTTGGTCTTAAAGGTGCCACTGGATCTAAACTTTATTTTCTTTAAGTTTGTTATATTTGAACCACAACCTTGCTTGTTTTTGCCTTTAAATTTTGCAGCTGCTCAGAAGTTGCTGTATTCCCAGCCAACAGCAGTTAGCACAGCTAGGTTCCATGACTATTCTGTACAGCCCCCAAGATCAGGTAATTTAATTCACATGATAGACTGATAAAGTTAAAGGTTGTATCTGTTGTGGGAACAATTCTGCTAGATGTATCACTATAGATTTGTTTGCTGGAACAGAAACCAATATGTGGCTCTTTTTTCTGTTCAGAAGAGGGATTTCTGTTTCATTTCTCTTTGAAGAGAAATCAGTATTTCCTTTTGTAACTTTAGCACTTGCAGTAGTTTTATGTTACACACTCCAGATTAGTGCACTAGCAGGAGGATAGGAAGGTTTGGGAAGACATTGCCTGCCTCTAAGCATCTACACATGGAAATTCTGAAATTTTGCAGAACCTTCCTTCCTGCTCCTCCTCTCCTCTAATTTTTCTTTGATCAAAATAGAACTGATTTGATAAACTCTACATGCCTAAAAAGAAGAAAATAGATGGATTTCTGGGATAAATTAGGTAAGGAGGACCAACAGAATTTCTCTTAACACTACCATAGAGCTGCATTGCCATAACCTGCTCAATTACCTTTCCCAGAAAAGTCAGATCGGAGATAGGTTTACAGTTGGCTAACACTTGCTTCTCCAGTGAAGGTTTTGTTTTGTTGTTTTTTGAAACAAACTCCTAATTACTGCCTCCCTGTAACAATATTGCTCCAGGACTATCTGAGCGTACATTTGCCCTTTGCAGTTTTTAATCTGTCTTCAGGGTGAAGACAGGGAAGTGGGGTGAACAATCCTTTTTTATTGCTGAAGATGTATGTGGGGGCTCAGCAGGACAATGCTGAAGTGGTTTGTTTTTCTTTTTAATGGATTGAATGGAAAAGGTGGCTGTTGGGATAGCATGGTATTTGATATGGGGAGTTTGTCAGGGTTTGGGGCTGTGATGGATTGCACTTTTAAAAGCTTAGAAGTGCTGTGTAAACAGGTAATGGACTGTGAGGGGTTAATTCTTCACACAGCCAGAGAGCCTTGAGTGACAGCCTGTTCCAAGAGATCTGATTGGTTAGCATCAGCTGAGCAGAGAAAGACTTCTGAACTGGATACTGAGGAGGATTCAGTCTGATTTCAGTCCTAGCTGAAAAGAGTCGAGTACTGACAGATTTGGAATTCAGCCCTGACTGAGAGCAGTTTAACACAGACAGGAGAATTGGGGAAAAGTTGGCAAGGAAGTTTGGGAAGTAGACAAAGACTCCCACTTGGGCCAAAGAAAGGGGATAGATCTTTTAGTGAGAGGAGAATTTCCCTACCCAATCAAACAGGGAGTTAGCTCTGAAGAGTGCAGAGATTCTTGGTCTGATGTTGTTAGAAACTGCCTGTAGAAACCTTAGGAGTCAGTTAAAAACTCAAGACGAGTACTGGTGTTTCAAGAGAAGGGGTTTGGATACTGGAAATAATGTACCAAAAGAGTTAGAGAATATTCAAAGAAAATGTATTGAACACTGGAATGAAAGCCTCTCAACATAAAGATTTAAGTCACTGTGAAATGATTAAGAAACTCTCATTAGCCTGAAACAGAAGAACTAAAGTCTCTGTGTGTACTGATTTTACCTCAGAGTTATCTATATTGAGTTATCTTAGAAATTTTACCCCTGATTTCACCTGACATTTCCCCTCTATGTTGAATAAAATACTTTGTTGATTTGGAATATACAAAACTTCTTGGGTGCCATTTAAATTGTATAGATTAAAGGGGGCTCCCATTCCTTCCCTCAGGTTCCTGGTCTGAGCAAACAGGGTGAGACAGCCAGAGTTCTTCAGCAAAGAAGAAAACATATTACTAGGGCTGCTCAGTCAGTAAAAGGAAAGAAAAACAGAGGGAAAATCTTGCCTTTGAGGGAAGTGGACGGGGTTGTCATAGGGGCTCACATCCATGTCATTTACTATCTTTGTGAAAACCCTAAATGATATTGTCTGCAGATATATACCCCATTTTTTTAAAAAACCCTTCATATATTGTCATCTTGGGATGGCCTTGGCCACAGGCAATACATTTCGTTACACTATTATATTTCTTATATAGGATGGGAAGGAAGCCAGTTACCAGCAACAAACTATCTCCACAAGTTGATTGCTTTGAAGAAAAAGTTCCTTTCTCCAGAGCTGAAAGGTAATTTATTTCCTTATGCAATAATTCTGTATCTTTCCTTAGGATTTAGAGGGGGAAGAAATTGAGATTGAAGAGCTGTTCTTAAAATTTCTGCAAAATGTAGGGACAGGGACAAAAGACTATTTCAGAAAGTGTCATCAGCGCAGAGGAGAGCTGTCTTCAACTGACAGCCATGATCAGCACTTCTTGTGTTTGTGAGAGCAGCACACATTAGAGATCTGCACCCACTGCCTCAAATTGGCTAAGCTTGCAAGGTACAACCAATGAATCAGGCTCTGGGGCCCCCCTCTCAAAGAGAGCCCTCTCAGCCTCTGAGGCAGCAGCAGATGGATCAGGACTGATGATGTGGAACCCACAAGCTTCAGCTTTAGGGTCTCTACCTCCAAATGATGCTGGACCCATCGGCCCTAATTTCTTCCAAAGCCAGCTCTCTGGTACCAAGGATAAGTCCCAACAATGTCAAGCTTGATCCCCAGCCACTGGGGGGGGGGAACATAACACAAAGGAAAATGTAAGTTAAATGTATCTGGACAACAGCTTCCCCCTAGACCATTCCTCCTGTGATGGGTACTTCTGTAGAGGGTTTCTGCCTCCCCAGTTCTAGACCTTCAGGACCAGATTCTGGAAATAGAACTGATATTTGAGGTCCGCAAACTTTTTTTCACCTAGAAGCAGAGTTGCCGTGCCCCCACTGTGATGGGGAGCTATCAAGACACAAGTGACACCACTGAACTCCTTACCTCAACCCCCCAGTTCCAGAGGGGTGTGCTCCTTAATCTACTATGAATGACCCGAAAGGCATTCACTAAAGATCTCAGAGCAGATGGGAGTATGGTCCAGGGAAAGGAGAAGGGTCAGAGAAGGCACAGCCTCTCCTGATCTAGTGCTTCCTTCTCAGATTGCTTTCAACAGCCAGTGTTTTGCCAAGGAGTCAGGGCAACTATACTAGAGAGAACCTCTGAATGGCGGCTGGGGGGTGTTTTCAGATGGGTGAATGGTTCCCTTCCCCAGGGAGAACCTAATTCTACTACATGAAAGAGATTTGCAGGGATTTTAACGCTGCTGTCTGTACCTGGGGTATAGAGGCTTTCCTCATTCAGGTTTTTTCTTCCAAGTTTGTGTGGAGTTGATTACAAAGATGTATTACAGGTAAATGTGGTTCTCCCTCTGAGAGGAGGACATCTTGATGGGTGTTTCCCACCCTATCCTTAGGGAGGCAGGAACCAAAACTTCACTTCCTGTCCTCTTGGTGGGACACGCCCTCAATTCAGTTTTGTTCCTGCCTCAGTAGGGAGAGCAGCACGAAGTTGGCACTCGTGCCTTTTTTGACTACTTTCTGTTTCTACTGGCTTTCTGTTTTTGGCCTTAACTCTGTAGATGTCCCTCCTTCTCTGCGCCTCCTCCCCCACTTGTTCTCTTCTACCTTTTTTCTTTCCTTGACTGAACTCCCCCCTGACGCTCCGGCCTGGAGCATGTCAGACCAGGGAGACTTAAACTGATTCCTCTCAGAAAAAGAGAGGGAAAACGCTCTGCCGCCAGCACAACTCAAATGGGCAAACTTAAAGCTGCGGCCTCTGCCTCCGCCGGCACTGCGGGTCTCACCGCAACACAAGGAGAGCGCACCAAAAAGCGGCCCCATTCTCCGCCCACAGAGCACGCCGTGGACGCCATCTTGGATCAGGCGG